CCCTGCTGGTGATCCTACTCAATCACCGACAGTTGTGAACTCTTAAATGTATATAAGAGTCATACACGCTTTGTGTAAATATCCTGGTGTTGCTGGGGCTTGTAATCGTCCTCTGTAACCGTATCTTGATTCAGTAGCGATGTACTACAGGGATATATATCTCTCACATAACACACATATGAATGAAACAATAGAGGGAATCCACATAGCGTAATTCTAGTTATTATATATAACTAGAGATGAGCGAATCGAACTCGGCGAAGTGTAATTCGTTTCGAATATTAGAAAAATTTCGAAATTTTTCCAAAAATGGCGGCGACATGTGCGGCGACGGAGCAGGGATCTCTGGGAAGGCGCGCAGACAAGGCGCGCTGACCCATAATGCATTCATTCATGACATGTGATCGCATTAGCCAATCAGCAGCCAGCCAGCCAGCACTGTGTAATGGTGGAGCTATAAATTGCGGCCATCTTACAATTCTCCATTTGCCTCTGGTCATTCAAGAGAGACAGATCTCTCTGTATTTGGGACATAGAATCGTTACTTAGGGACACAGAACCGTTACTTAGGGACACAGAACCGTTACTTAGGGACACAGAATCGTTACTTAGGGACACAGAACCGTTACTTAGGGACACAGAACCGTTACTTAGGGACACAGAACCGTTACTTAGGGACACAGAATTGTTACTCAGGGACACAGAATTGTTACTCAGGGACAGACACAGAATTGTTACTGAGGGACAGACACAGAATTGTTACTGAGGGACACAGAATTGTTACTGAGGGACACAGAATTGTTACTGAGGGACACAGAATTGTTACTCAGGGACAGACACAGAATTGTTACTGAGGGACACAGAATTGTTACTGAGGGACACAGAATTGTTACTGAGGGACACACAATTGTTACTCAGGGACACAGAATTGTTACTCATGGACACAGAAATGTTACTGAGGGACACATAATTGTTACTCAGGGACACAGAATTCTTACTCAGGGACACAGAATTGTTACTCAGGGACACAGAATTGTTACTCAAGGACAGACACAGAATTGTTACTGAGGGACACAGAATTGTTACTCAGGGACACAGAATCGTTGAATTAAAGAGTATGTCAGACAACATGCAGAGGAGTGGCAGAGGAGGCAATGTTTTAGGAGCGAGCAGACGTGGCAGCAGAGGAAGGGGTCGAGGCAGCACTAGTCGCAGCCAGAGGCCAGTGCTCCCGGTGTCATCCAGCGGTCGTGTCTCCACCGACAACCCTGCCGTCATCGATTGGTTGGCTCGGTCGTCTTCCTCTTCCCAGGTCACCTCTGACACCTACAGCCAATGGTCGGTGGGTACGTCAGACACAACCGTTAGTTGGCATGGCCCGGGAGCAAGCCCACTGAAATCACGTGTCCTCTACCTGCCCCTGTCCTTTGGTGTTCCCTTACCAAGCGAAGTATCGCATGCTGTGTCAGCCCCACTGTACAGTGAGGAAGAGCTAACAGAGGGCGGTCAGGAACGGGGGGAGACATCCGCCTCTTCAGCAGCCAGGCAAGAAGTACTGGCGAGGAGAGTGGCTTGGTAGCCGGTCTAGAGACAGGTCTGTCTCCTGACCCACACGCAGCCGAGGGGGCTAGTAGTGAGGCGGAGACCCTATTGATGATGATGAGGCTGATCGCACTTGGCAGCCTCGTCGTCATCAGGCTATTGCTTCCGCATCATCAGGAGAAGAGGGTGGCAGCTTGGCAGCGAGCAAAACAGTCGGTGGGTTGCCCAGGAGGCAGCAGGGTCGCAGCAGTGTCAGTGGAGGCAAACGGCCACGGAGTAGAGCACCAGCTCCACTGCAGCCTACCACCACGGCCAGTAGTGGTGCCGGTGTGCACGGAGGAAGTAGCAGTCAGCCAGTGAGGAGTAGCGGGGGCAAAGTTTCCTACTCGGCGGTGTGGCAATTTTTCGTCAAGCCGCCCGAGGAAGTAAACGTAGCCGTATGTCGACTATGTGGCAGAAAGTCAAGCGTGGCCAGGGGGCCCATGTTGGGACTACAGCGTTGCGGCAGCATATGCAGCGTCGCCATTTGGTGGCCTGGGAAAACCGTGATAAAGATACGGCGGTTCTGCCAGCCCCAGCCCCCGCTCCATCACCTGCTCCGTTACTTGCTCCGTCACCCGACGTCAATCGCCCTCTATCAGCCAGTCAAGGCTCCAACACCTCTGCTGAGGGGAGTTGTCGCTCGTTGGCATCTTCCGCTCGTTCAGATGCTCCTTCTCCTGCTACTCCTCTTCACGGATTCCGTCAGCAGTCTTTCTTGGAATCCGTTTCCAAGAGACAACAGTTTGCGAGCACGCACCTGACGGTGCAGAAGCTGAACGTCCTTCTGTCCAAGTTGCTGGTGCTGCAGTCCCTCCCTTTCCAAGTGGTGGACTCAGCACCTTTCCGAGAAATGATGGCTTGTGCCGCGCTGCGGTGGAGAGTGCCAAGCCGGCATTTCTTCGCCAAAAAGGCAGTGCCAGCCCTGCATTCACATGTAGAAGAGATGGTGGGCCAGTCTTTCAGCATGTCGGTCTCTGCCAAAGTGCACGGCAGCGCCGACGTGTGGAGCTGTAACTACGGTCAGGGACAGTACATGTCATTTACGGCCCACTGGGTGAACGTGGTGCCGGCACAGCCGCACCAGCAACTTGGACAGGTCACGCCGCATTTGCCTCCACGTTTGCACGTCCTTGGTCGAGCAAAGATGTCCGCCTCTACCACCTCTTCTTCCGCCGTGTCCTCAGCCGCCACCCCCGTGCCAAGTCCCATTACCCGACCGGCATATCACATGTGCAGGGCGCAACGGTGTCACGCTGTGCTGCACCTGGTATGCCTTGGCGAACGTAGTCACACAGGGGAGGAACTTCTGAGTGTAATGAACAGAGAAATCGACAGATGGCTGTCTCCGCGCAAACTGAAAATCGGAACCATGTTGACCGACAACGGAAAGAACATGGTGTCTGCTCTGCGTCAAGGAAGGTTGTGCCATGCGCCATGCATGGCTCACGTGTTCAATCTGGTTCTCAAGCGGTTCCTAAAATCCACCATCCCACTGCAAGACATCCTTAAAATGTCACGTAAACTTTGCATGCATTTCTGCCATTCCTACACCGCCAAGCACACCCTCCTTGAGCTGCAGCGGCAGAACGGAATTCCACAGCATCGCCTGATCTGCGACGTTGCAACAAGGTGGAATTCAACCCTACACATGTTAGGCCGCCTTTACGAACAGCGAAAGGCCATCACCGATTTCCTGATGTTACAAGCGGATAAAGGTACTCCCCTGTGTAACTTAGATGTCAGCCATTGGCAGCTCATGCGTGACACCTGCCGCTTGCTCAGGCCCTTTGAGGAGGCCACGCTATTCGTGAGTCGGCAGGACTATGGGATGAACGACGTCATTCCTCTGTTGCACGTCCTGGAACAAATGCTGTTAACAATGGCTGGTCAGGGTGCGGTAGACGTGGCGCACAGATCTCAACGCCACATGACCCCTGTGGGGGCAGGACAGGAAGAAGAGGAGGAGGTAGAGGAGGACATTGGTGCTCAGGAATTATTGAGTGAAATGGGTGGTTTTTTCACTCAGCGGACAGGAGTGGAGGAGCAGGAGCATCTGGTAGAGGAGGAGGAGGAGGAGACAGAGGACCCAGACGCACCGTGGCAGTATGCTGTGGAGATGGAGGCAGGGAGTCCCTCGCATTCCTTGGCACAAATGGCCCATAGCATGCTCGGTTGCTTGCGTAGTGACAGCCGAATAATAACCATCAGACAGAGGGATGACTTTTTTGGCTGTCCACCTTGTTGGACCCTCGCTACCGTTCAAAAATGGTGGCCTTTTTCACACCTGCTGAGAGGGAGGCCAAAATAACGTACTATAAAAACCACCTATGTAGTCAGTTGGTCTCTGCCTTTGTGCGCCAACGTCCATCCTCAGACACTGTGGGCCCTGTGCGCTCGCGTTCCGCTGCCATGGCAGCAGGGGAGGGGTGGGGTGGTAGGAGCAGTGGCAGCTCCACCAGCAGCGGCTGCCACAGTCTGCAGTCGATGATGAGTAGCTTTCTTCACCAGCACAGTGAGGAAACTACTAACCAGCTGCAGCAGCATCAGGTGGACCTGGAGCAGGACCTCAAACAACAGGCTTGGGCCTACTTGGACAGCACCCTGCCAACCGAGGTAGACAATCCCTTGACTACTGGGCAACGAAACTTGACCTTTGGCCCCAACTAACTGAATTTGCCCTTGAAAGGCTGTCATGCCCGGCCAGTAGCGTGGCATCGGAGCGCGTGTGTAGTGCGGCAGGAGGTATTGTAACTCCGCGGAGGACACGACTGTCCACCCAAAGTGTGGAGAGACTCACGTTTGTGAAAATGAATCAGGCGTGGATTAGTCTGGATTTCAAACCACCAGTTCCTGACACAACTGACTAAATCCGCCATGAATCATGCCCCAAACATGTGCCACTTTCAGGTCTCCTCACACTGCTGGTGGGTTCCATTTTGTCATAGGGTGCTGGCAGATTACGGGCCTCCCATTGCTGCTGCCAGGCCCGTAATCTTCCATGGGCCCCTGTACCGCCTCCTCATGCTGCTGCCAGGTCCAGAGTGTGTCATGGGTCCCTGTACGGCCTCCCATTGCTGCTGTCTCCATCGCCACACTCTGCCATGTGCCACTTTCAGGTCTCCTCACACTGCTGGTGTGTTCCATTTTGTCATAGGGTGCTGGCAGATTACGGGCCTCCCATTGCTGCTGCCAGGCCTGTAATCTTCCATGGGGCCCTGTACCGCCTCCTCATGCTGCTGCCAGGTCCACAGTGTCTCATGGGTCCCTGTACGGCCTCCCATTGCTGCTGTCTCCATCGCCACACCCTGCCATGTGCCACTTTCAGGTCTCCTCACACTGCTGGTGTGTTCCATTTTGTCATAGGATGCTGGCAGATTACGGGCCTCCCATTGCTGCTGCCAGGCCTGTAATCTGCCATGGGCCCCTGTACCGCCTCCTCATGCTGCTGCCAGGTACAGAGTGTCTAATGGGTCCCTGTACGGCCTCCCATTGCTGCTGTCTCCATCGCCACACTCTGCCATGTGCCACTTTCAGGTCTCCTCACACTGCTGGTGTGTTCCATTTTGTCATAGGGTGCTGCAGATTACGGGCCTCCCATTGCTGCTGCCAGGCCCGTAATCTGCCATGGGCCCCCGTACCGCCTCCCCATGCTGCTGCCAGGTCCAGAGTCTCTCATGGGTCCCTGTACGGCCTCCCATTGCTGCTGTCTCCATCGCCACACTCTGCCATGTGCCACTTTCAGGTCTCCTCACACTGCTGGTGTGCTCCATTTTGTCATAGGGTGCTGGCAGATTACGGGCCTCCCATTGCTGCTGCCAAACCTGTAATCTGCCATGGGCCCCTGTACCACCTCCTCATGCTGCTGCCAGGTCCACAGTGTCTCATGGGTCCCTGTACGGCCTCCCGTTGCTGCTGTCTCCATCGCCACACTCTGCCATGTGCCACTTTCAGGTCTCCTCACACTGCTGGTGTGTTCCATTTTGTCATAGGGTGCTGGCAGATTACGGCCCTCCCATTGCTGCTGCCAGGCCTGTAATCTGCCATGGGCCCCTGTACCACCTCCTCATGCTGCTGCCAGGTCCACAGTGTCTCATGGGTCCCTGTACGGCCTCCCATTGCTGCTGTCTCCATCGCCACACTCTGCCATGTGCCACTTTCAGGTCTCCTCACACTGCTGGTGTGTTCCATTTTGTCATAGGGTGCTGGCAGATTACGGGCCTCCCATTGCTGCTGCCAGGCCTGTAATCTGCCATGGGCCCCTGTACCGCCTCCTCATGCTGCTGCCAGGTCCAGAGTCTCTCATGGGTCCCTGTACGGCCTCCCATTGCTGCTGTCTCCATCGCCACACTCTGCCATGTGCCACTTTCAGGTCTCCTCACACTGCTGGTGTGTTCCATTTTGTCATAGGGTGCTGGCAGATTACGGGCTTCCCATTGCTGCTGCCAGGCCCGTAATCTGCCATGGGCCCCTGTACCACCTCTTCATGCTGGTGCCAGGTCCAGAATCTCTCATGGGTCCCTGTACGGCCTCCCATTGCTGCTGTCTCCATCGCCACACTCTGCCATGTGCCACTTTCAGGTCTCCTCACACTGCTGGTGTGTTCCATTTTTTGTCATAGGGTGCTGGCAGATTACGGGCCTCCCATTGCTGCTGCCTGGCCCGTAATCTGCCATGGGCCCCTGTACCGCCTCCTCATGCTGCTGCCAGGTCCAGAGTCTCTCATGGGTCCCTGTACGGCCTCCCATTGCTGCTGTCTCCATCGCCACACTCTGCCATGTGCCACTTTCAGGTCTCCTCACACTGCTGGTGTGTTCCATTTTGTCATAGGGTGCTGGCAGATTACGGGCCTCCCATTGCTGCTGCCAGGCCCGTAATCTGCCATGGGCCCCCGTACCGACTCCTCATGCTGTGACGTTGCAACAAGGTGGAATTCAACCTACATATGTTAACCGCCTTTACGAACAGCGAAAGGCCATCACCGATTTCCTGATGTTACAAGCGGATAAAGGTACTCCCCTGTGTAACTTAGATGTCAGCCATTGGCATCTCATGCGTGACACCTGCCGCTTGCTCAGGCCCCTTTGAGGAGGCCACGCTATTCGTGAGTCGGCAGGACTATGGGATGAACGACGTCGTCATTCCTCTGTTGCACGTCCTGGAACAAATGCTGTTAACAATGGCTGGTCAGGTTGCGGTAGACGTGGCGCACAGGTCTCAACGCCACATGACCCCTGTGGGGGCAGGACAGGAAGAAGAGGAGGAGTTAGAGGAGGACATTGGTGCTCAGGAATTATTGAGTGAAAATGGGTGGTTTTTCCACTCAGCGGACAGGAGCATCTGGTAGAGGAGGAGGAGGAGACAGAGGACCCAGACGCACCGTGGCAGTATGCTGTGGAGATGGAGGCAGGGAGTCCCTCGCATTCCTTGGCACAAATGGCCCATAGCATGCTCGGTTGCTTGCGTAGCGACAGCCGAATAATAACCATCAGACAGAGGGATGACTTTTGGCTGTCCACCTTGTTGGACCCTCGCTACCGTTCAAAAATGGTGGCCTTTTTCACACCTGCCGAGAGGGAGGCCCAAAATAACGTACTATAAAAACCACCTATGTAGTCAGTTGGACTCTGCCTTTCTGCGCCAACATCCATCCTCAGACACTGTGGGCCCTGTGCACTCGCGTTCCGCTGCCATGGCAGCAGGGGAGGGGTGGGGTGGTAGGAGCAGTGGCAGCTCCACCAGCAGCGGCTTCCTCCCACTGCAGTCGATGATGAGTAGCTTTCTTCACCAGCTCAGTGAGGAAACTACTTACCAGCCGCAGCAGCAGCAGCATCAGGTGGACCTGGAGCAGGACCTCAAACAACAGGCTCGGGCCTACTTGGACAGCACCCTGCCAACCGAGGTAGACAATCCCCTTGACTACTGGGCAACAAAACTTGACCTTTGGCCCCAACTAGCTGAATTTGCCCTTGAAAGGCTGTCATGCCCGGCCAGTAGCGTGGCATGGGAGCGCGTGTTTAGTGCGGCAGGAGGTATTGTAACTCCGCGGAGGACACGACTGTCCACCCAAAGTGTGGAGAGAGACTCACGTTTGTGAAAATGAATCAGGCGTGGATTAGTCTGGATTTCAGACCACCAGTTCCTGACACAACTGACTAAATCCGCCATGAATCATGCCCCAAACATGTTATTATTTTTAACATAGGCCTTTGTATGGCCTTCAATTTAAGCTGCTTACGCTTCGCCACTCTGCCATGGGCCCCTGTACCGCCTCCTCTTGCTGCTGCCAGGTCCAGAGTGTGTCATGGGTCCCTGTACGGCCTCCCATTGCTGCTGACTTCATCGCCAGACTCTGCCATGTGCCACTTTCAGGTCTCCTTACACTGTTGGTGGGTTCCATTTTGTCATAGGGTGCTGGCAGATTACGGGCCTCCCATTGCTGCTGCCAGGCCCGTAATCTGCCATGGGCCCCCGTACCGCCTCCTCATGCTGCTGCCAGGTCCAGAGTGTGTCATGGGTCCCTGTACAGCCTCCCATTGCTGCTGTCTCCATCGCCACACTCTGCCATGTGCCACTTTCAGGTCTCCTCACACTGCTGGTGTGTTCCATTTTGTCATAGGGTGCTGGCAGATTACGGGCCTCCCATTGCTGCTGCCAGGCCCGTAATCTGACATGGGCCCCCGTACCGCCTCCTCATGCTGCTGCCAGGTCCAGAGTGTGTCATGGGTCCCTGTACGGCCTCCCATTGCTGCTGTCTCCATCGCCACACTCTGCCATGTGCCACTTTCAGGTCTCCTCACACTGCTGGAGGGTTCCATTTTTGTTATAGGGTGCTGTATGGCCTCCCATTGCTGCTGCCTCCACCGCCACACTGTGGCTCCACACTCTGGTTTTGGCCCCGTGACTGCCCAAATGAGTGAAGTGTGCGGTGATTCTAAGATCGACGGCACTCATCTGCATGTCATACTGACTGACAGTATTATTTCTCTTCCCCAGCAGACTCCAAGGGCATTTAAATTAAAGGTACAGTGTTCTGCACTAATATAAAGGCTCTCTGAAGCCTAGAAACCCTTTTTATAAGTTAAATTCGCAGCGAATATATTCGCATCGAATCAAATTTATTCCTCGAATTCGCCGAATCAGCCAAATCGAATTTTTGAATACTTCGCTCATCTCTATATATAACCTTTAAAATTTGTTACACTCACTTTAAAAAAGCAAATAAGAGCAAAATTGCAGGACCAGAAGTGACACACTGCCATTTGTTCCATCAACCAGATATGATGACACTTGTGGTTGTCACGTGACACGTTTTGCTCCTCCTCCTGGGTATCTTCAGACAAAGGACAAAAGGACATCACCTTATTGAGACTGAGCTCTGCAGTTACTTTTGAAGTAGTTGTTTTCTTATTTCAGGTCACAGTCCTGCACAATGTCCTTTTGTCTCTTACGGTCAGTTGACTATGTTGACCGCGCTTATGTTTATCAGACAATGTTTTCCCGGAAACTGTATATGTCATCATAACTTTTGATACTGTACCTTGTGACATGGCAAATAAATTGACAACTTCAGTCACAGAGGCACCAGCTAAGTTGGCACCAGCAATTTGCCCTCATTGAATTTCAATAATCTCTGACATGACTCCTCATCACACAGCAGAAGAAAAAACAGTTACATCCCTTTTGCTTTCAATGCGAAACATGTCATCACTTTCATACCTGTATAGCACCCTCCTAGGTAGGTTGCTAGGATGTTCATAGTCTAGTTTAATACAGTGTAGTCTCTTGCTTAACAGGAGACTGATAGGTATTCAAGTTCAGCAGATTGAAGAGTTTCATTTATGTTCCGTGGAAGTTTGGCCTTTAGGGGCAGCAACCATATCACTTATTTTTCTGTTGCAAACCAAAGGGGGGAGGGTATACCCATTTTGGGCACTTTGTGAAGATAGTTGCCAAGGACTAGTGGCAAAGATATTTACCCAGAGTACTTACTTTGGACACTTTTCGCAGATAGTTGCCATGGACTAAGGTATTCACTCAGTTCTCAGGACAGAACTGTTTTGCCCAGCTAAGGGGCAATAATACACTCCAGTGAGGGGAAGGTGCCCTGAGTGTATGTGTTGATGCTATTGAGGCCCAGCTTGAGTCTGCATCCTAAACAAGGGAAAAAGAGACTCCAAACATTTTTTGTCTCAAATGAAATTCAATAGAAGTTTAAGCTAGCTAGGTCAGATAAGGGCTGTCTGCCTCTGTTCTCTCTTTCAGGGCCCTGGAAGGCAACATGGCAAGAGTTTTCCCCAAGGGGGAAGTCCATGGAGCATTTCTTCTTGAAAGTAGTATAGACATCTAGGTTGTGTTTGTTTGTTTTTTTTGTGTGGGAAGGTCGCCTTTTAGGAAAGGGTGTTCCCACAGTTAGCTGACAGACAGGATGTGCTATCTCTTTGCAGATATGTATTCTCTAACATGTATTGTCTTGCAGGCCTACAAGAATTGAACCTGCCTTGGCTGAGGCCACTTCACTGTCATTGCTGACTGTTACTGAACTGTGTAAATATGTTAGCTAGCTTAGGAATAATTAGGAATTTGTAATTGCTAACTGCTCGCTTCCACCAATAATTCATGTTTTCGACAGGGGGTGCATTGTAAATATTGCGTTTGGTAGCTCTCTCTACCTAATTGTCCTGTGAGTATTTGTATAGAAAATGCACTATATTTTTCTACTGCTAATTTATTTTATATTTGCTGGCTATAATGGTCCTGTACATATGGTATTTGCCCTTTTCCCTCTTTCTACGTTAGTGGGATACTCCACCTGATTTTTTTTCCATACAAAGCTTTGTAGGGGCAGCTGCCCAGGCCAATGAGGACATGGCCATTTTTTTGGCGGGAGGGGGGGTTGGGTGAGTGTCGCACCTTTTTGCTAAAGCGTTTGACACAGTTCACCATACACGGCTTATGTGTAAAGTAAAGTCTACAGGCTTGGAAAAATCTGTATGTAAATGGATAGAAAACTGGCAAAAAGATCGTATTCAGAGAGTAATGGTTAATGATTCATACTCTGAATGGTCTAGGGTTGTCAGTGGTGTACCCCAAGGTTCAGTGTTGGGACCCTTACTTTTTAATATATTTATAAACGATATAGGGTCTAGGATTAAAAATCCCATTTCAGTCTTTGCAGATGACACCAAGCTGTGCAGTGGAAGAACGTCCTTACAGGATGTCTCCAATTTACAAGCCAACCTCAATGCTTTGTTTAATTGGGCAACTATGTGGCAAATGAGGTTTAATGTTGATATATGTAAGGTTCTGCACTTGGGGGCTAAGAATATGCATGCATCATACATACTAGGGGGGGTACAACTGGGGGAATCAATGGTGGAGAAGGATCTGGGAGTTCTGGTAGATCACAAGCTTAATAATGGCATGCAATGCCAAGCTGCGGTTTCTAAAGCGAGTAAAATCCTCTCTTGTATTAACCGCTTAAGGACCGCCCTATAGTAGATATACTGCTACAGGGTGGCACCTGTGCACAAAATCACGTATATATATACGTGATTTTGCATCTCCGGGAAGGGGGCGTGCTCGAGCCGCACATGCGCCCTATCCATGCCACGATTTGCGGCGACCCGGTGATTACCGAGCATCTCCGATGGGGAGGAAGATTGTTTTGTTTACAAACAATCTTCCTCCCTGTCAGCTCGAGCACACTGCTCGGGATGGCTGTGCACAGTACAGTCATCATAATCAGTGTGCTTACAGTGAAGAACACCCCTCCACCCCCTAGTAAAACACACACAGCGCACAGTTAACCCTTTGATCGCCCCTCACATTAACCCCTTCCTGCCCAGTGCCATTAGTACAGTATCAGTGCTCTTTTTTAGCACTGATTACTGTATTGGTGTCACCAAGTTAGTTCCCCCCCCCCCCCCCCCCCCCCCCCCCGTGTCAGAATGTCTGCCGCAGTCCCGCAGTTGCTGATCGCCGCAATTACTAGTAGAAAAAAAAATCCCATTATCTATACCGCCATTTGTAAATGCTATTACTTTCATGTAAACCAATTAATTTACACGGATTGGGATTTTTTTTTTGCAAAGACGTAGCAGAATACATTTTGGACTAAATTTATGAGGAAATTTGATTTGTTAAATTTTTTTACTGGACATAGTAGCAAAAAGCAAAATATTTATTATTTATAAATCAGGGGTTCAAAGGAATCCTTAACCAGTTTACTATGGCCAGATCCACATCCATGCATTGTGGAAATCCACAGTTAAATGTCCATCTTACTATGCAGCTTGCTGTGGTGCCATTCATTTTGAATGGTATTAAGCTCATCCAATTCAGTATAGCAAAACATAATTGTGTGAACCATCTGTGCACTATGGTATTCTGGTTTAAAAATGGTAGGGTATGAGTGCTTTAACATATCTATTGACAGCCCATTCAAAATAAGTGAGCTGCTTTAACACAACATATGCTTACACGTGAAATACCACACATTAATGCATGTGGATTAACACACACTATCAGGGTGAATTTGATCTAACAGTAGTTTGATTAACCTGAAATTTCAGTTCAGGAACATTGCTTGACCCATTATTAGTTTTGGCCACGTGGAACCTACAAGGATGAAAAAATGCAAGAGAAGAAAGTAGGTAGAGGAAGGGAATCAACATTATGAATGTATGTGAAATTAAAGAAATGCATGAAATAGAAAAGAAAAAGAACACAAAAGTCAAAAAAAAAAGGAAAGTGAAAGGGTATGGTTGTAAGAAGGGGCTGACCTTGTCTTCTTTTAATTTAGGCTCCTCCTTATCTCTTACAGAAAGTTATACTAAAACTCTATGTCTTCTGGAACATTCCCTTCTTTAACATTTGGGAGAAGAGTTTAGGAGGTTGTGTGTGCAACCCAGACAGTCAACATGAAGGTATAAGGAGGATGAACTGTGCTCTCTTCCAAGGGCACTTCTTCTGTTATAGATTTACAGTACCTGAGATTAAATTGCAAAAATGGAGTTATCTCCAGAAATGGGGACTTTTAAGGCACCCTACTAAAGAAGAAAACAAAATTAAGCTAAAAAATATTTGTATTTATTAACATCCATTAAAAAAATGGACCAACAATTTGGCCATTTAATATGCAATATCATACAATATCATACACAATGCATATACTGGGATGTAACACTATGCATCTATCCCCTGAGTGATGGGTTATGCTTTTCCTGTACCTGAGATTAACTCTTGACCTGATGAGAGCAGCTGTTTCCATTTTATCCCAGGAGATACTGTATGAATTTATGGACTATAACAAGAGAACAATTTGTCTTCTAGCAGGATGTGTTGTTATTCATAGAGAATACCTGTGTATTCAAGTGACAGCACATGAAGTAGGTCTGGACACAGTTGGGGCGCAGGTGGCTGAATAAGTGGTAACCATTTGATAATGTGCTGAAATGGAGATAGTGACAGATCTCTAAATAACATGATATAAAATGTAAGTCTGGTTGGGTGGAGCTGGTGGTGGCAAGTAAGAAGAGGACTGCCTTCCTGATGGTGGTGACAAGAGGAATTCTCGATAGCAACACACGAAAGTGACTTGGGCCTCTATGTTGCACAGGTGGTCAGCCGGATCCTCGAAGCTGTAGCCTGGAACCACAATAAAATGCAAGGCCTTACTATACTAGTATAGTATAGTAGTTCCTGGTTGAAAAGAGGGGTCAGCATTACTGTGAAAAAGGGGATGGTTTAGTGGGGTTTAGAACCCATCATACGTACACTTGGTAGTTGACAGCAAAGCTCTGCATTGGGCACCTGGGCAGTGAACTTGCCCAACAACCCAGCCTCTGGGTGACCTTTAGCTGCAGCATGCTAACAAGGGGAAAGAAACAGAAGGCATGACAAGAAAAACAATGTAAGCAATTTGAAAAAAGTGGAGAAATGAATGGAAAGAAGAAGTTTAAAATAGAAAGGAAAACAGAAAATGGCAAAAATTAAAGGAAGAAATGTGAAAGAAATATGTGGGGAGAGGCACAGAAACAAAGTAA